GGGTTTGAACCGCCAGCCTTCTGGTTAGCAGTCAAGTGCCTTAGGCACTATGCTACCAGAACTCCACCACTAGAGCTTCTTAATTGACAGATAAGTGAGGTGAGATTCAGAGATCTTGTCCAAGGTCACCCAACTATGAGGTAATAGAGCTGGGATTCAAACTCAAATAGTCTCGTTCTAACACTTGCACTCTTAACCACCTGCTCCCTTCCTGCTGGGGGAACAAGCTCTGTCCTGGCCTATCTGGGAGCCTCTTCTTTGATCTTCCTTGTTCTTAGAATAAGGCTCGTGCAGTTTTAATTCTAGGCAGTCTGCATTGGAACCCTTGTTTCCTGGTAGCTTGGCTGGTAAAATTATTGCAAAGAATGCTGATCTGTACTTTCTCAGCATTTATACTGTTAGTATAAATTATTATCCCATACATATTGTCTGTGGAATTGGGCAATAGGGATTTCAATTATAACCCCTCTTTTCTTGATCTTTCATGGGCTACATTAGCAAACCTGTCCTACAAGCTGCCTGTCCTGGAATCTGAGTAAGGCAGGTGCTGCCTATGTCAGTGAAGGCTCAGTCTCTTCTATACATCATGTCCTGGTCCTTTGGCCTCTGGCTCAGACTCCTTCATGCTGCTGTAATCACTAGCTGCTGCAGGAAGCCCACAAGACAGCCAGGTGTCACCATACCTGGCTCTGATCAACTAGAGTCAGCATCTATTGAAGTCCTGAGATGGAGAGAAGAAAGGAAAGAGATGGCAGTGAGAGGGTGGCAGAGCAAGAGCCAGGCAGTGGGACACAGGGACTGAGACTAAGGAGGGAGCTTGGCCTGCGGAGTGCTGTGTCCTTGATTGCTGGCTGTATGATTGGCTCTGGCATCTTCATGTCACCAGAGGGGGTATTGGTCTACAAGGGAAGTCCTGGGGCTAGTCTTGTGGTTTGGGCCATCTGTGGTCTCCTGGTCATGCTGGGTGTCTTGTGCTATGCTGAGCTGGGTGCTCTGGTCCCTGAATCTGGAGGGGAATATACCTACATCCTGCAAATATTTGGCTCCTTGCCAGTCTTTCTGGCCATCTATACATTTGTGCTGGTTGGCAGACCAGCTGCCATTGCTGCTGTCTTTCTGAGCTTTGCTGAGTATGCTGTGGCCTCCTTTTACCTGAGCTGTTCCTCACTGTCCCAGGTAGTGGTTAAAGGAGTGGCTGCCACCAGTATCCTGTTGCTGTTGCTGGTCAACTGTTGGAGCTCATGGCTGACCATCATGCTGATGAACATGTGCACAGTGGCCAAAGTGTTCTCTTTGTTGGTCATTGTGGGGGGTAGGGCTGTGGTGCTGGGCCAGGACTGTGGCCGCACAAAAGCCCTTCTGCACACCTTCCACAACACAATGCAGCAGGTGGGGTGCATTGACATAGCCTTCTACCAGGGCCTGTGGTCCTTTGATGGCTGGAATAGCCTCAATTACATGATAGAGGAGCTCAGGAATCCACACGTGAGTCCATGATGCCACTTCTGGGGGTGAAATCTCTGAACATCAGCAGCTCCGATTATTGTTGGTCATGCTGACTCAGACTCATGAGCAATCTGACCGGAAATGTGGGCTCGCTTCCTGTACTCATGAGACTTGAATGAGAGGTTGCTGTCCACCTTTATTAGTTTATGCAATTATTTAAATAATAACTCCTCGTGTAAGCACAGAACTTTATAGTATCACACTCATGGTCTCATTTCATTGTCCTGTAAGTAGGCATTATCACCTCATTTTTCAAATGGGAAAACTGAGATGTAGAAAGGGGAAGTGATTTTGAGATACTGCTCATAAAAAGCCTTGCTTAATGTCTCAGCTTGATATTTCTTGATTTTTCTTTTCAGAACTTATAGTTGGCAAGGCATGGGAATCACCCCAAGACAGCACAGTTTGGGACCAGAGATGGGCAAGTCCAGTCTAACTAACCCACCTGTGAGCCTGAGGCAGGGCAGTCATTGCCCTGGGGGGTGACAGATCTGCAGGTCAGTTTGGGATTCAGAATATTTGAGCATTTTGGTTACTATGGATATACTTGCTTGGGAAGTTAATATTTTATTTTTTGTGTCTTTTTCTCATACAGATTTTAAATTCTCATAGCATGAGAACTGGTAGTCTGTTCCTCTGTGTTCTCTGAGCTGGCTTAAGGGCCATTACAGCTTTCAGTGTCTTGGCAAAGCTCCCTGGAGGGTGGCTTGGAACAGGCTTGCAGCAACTAGAAGACTGAAGTCCAAGAGCAGAGAAAGAGACAGGGGAGAAGAATAGGAGTCCTAGGACCTAGTGTTTATTTTTGCATGTAATTATTTTTTTAAAAAAATATATTTTGTTGTTGTTGTTGTTGTTATGTGCCATCGAGTTGGCCCCGACTCACAGCGACCCCTTCTTGGGTTTCTGAGGCAGTATCACTACAGAAGTAAATTGCCCCATCTTCCTTCTGAGGAGTGGCTGGTGGGTTTGAACCGCCAGCCTTCTGGTTAGCAGTCAAGTGCCTTAGCCACTATGCTACCAGAGCTCCTTTTTTTTATTGAAATATAATTTATGTACAGTGAAATACACAAAACTAAAGTGACATGGGTCAATGCATTTCTTTTGGGGGGGGGCAATGTTCCCTCCCCTCCCTTCCCATCCCTAGTAACCAACAAAGAAAGTTTCCTTCCATATATAAACCTTTCCTTGACTTTTTACAATAATGAACTAATGCTATGGTTGTCCTTCTGTGATTGATTTATTTCACTCAGCATAATATCCTCCAAGTTCATCCATGTTATGTAGGGTTTTGCACATTCTACATTATTCTTTAGTGTTGCATAGTATTCTGTTGTGTGTATGTACCATAGTTTGGTTATCTATTCTTCTGTTGATAGGCTCGTAGAATGTTTCCATCTTTTTGCTATTGTGAATAGTGCTGTGATGACCATGGGTGTGCATATATCTGTTCCTGTCCTGCTTCTCACTTCTTTAGGATATATACCTAGTAATGGGATTGCTAGGTCAAATGGTATTTCTAATTCCAGCTTTTTAAGGAATCACCATACTGCTTTCCATAGTGGTTGGATCATTTTATAGTCCCACCAGCAGTGTATGAGAGTCTGAGTCTCTCTACATCCTTTGGCAGTGCAGTCATCAACAAGTATGAATTTGTTGCTGTCATTTTGTTATGTGCTTTTTCATGGTTTTGCTGATTCCTTTGTTCCATATAATTTTCTGTACTGAAGTTGTTTTATTTGTGAATCATGTTATCACTCCTTTTGTTGCTTTTGTTTTAGTATTTGTGAAATATTTGTGTTGGTCCTTTTTTATTTTGATGTGAAGGTTTATCATTTTTCTTTGAGGTTACCCTGTGATTTATAATTTTATTTCTAAGTTTCAAACAGTCCCTTCTATCTTGCAGTTGTCTTGACTTTCCTACCATTTAGAAGTTCTATAACTACACATTTTTTTCCCTCTCTTTGATTTGTAGTTGCCCTCATTTGTCAATTAATGTCTCTGGTTCCCTGTTCACAATCTTGTAGGCTTATTTACTTTGGATACTTCCATAACTGGGTTGGTTTCTGGGTTATGTCATCATGTGTGTTAATGGTCAGTTGTTGTTTGCTGTCCAAAGTACTCCCTTTAGCATCTCTTGTAACGTTGGTCTGGTTTTAACAAATTCCCTTAATTTCTGCTTATCTGGAAATGTCCTAATTTCACCATCATATTTGAGGGACAATTTTGCTGGGTATATAATTCTTGGTTGGAATTTTTTTCTGTCAGGGTTTTATATATATCATCCCATTGTCTTCTTATCTGCATGATGTCTTCTGAGAAATTCAAGCTGAGTCTTATTGGTTGCCCCCTGTGAGTAACTTTTTGCTTTTCCCATTGTTCTGGTTACCTAGTGCTGCTCTGACAAGAAATATACCACAAATGGGATGGCCTTAACAAACAGGAGTTTATTCTCTTACAGTTTAGGAGACTAGAAGTCTGAGTTCAAAGTGCCAGACTCTAGGGGCTGTGTGAAAGCCCCTTGACCTTGGGCTTCAGCTCTGCCTCTTGCTCCCAGCACACTAAAGCTAGAGGTATCTCTTCACTCAGACAGCTACTGGCTGCTGAGGCTAACAAGCCGAAGGTTGTTGTTGTTGTTGTTGTTATTTGCCATTGAGTCGGACCTGACTCATAGAGACCCCTCTTTGGGTTTCCAAGGCAGTATCACTATGGAAGTAGATTGCTCAACCTTCCTTCCAAGGAGTGGCTGGTGGGTTTGAACCGCCAGCCTTCTGGTTAGCAGTCAAGTGCCTTAGGCACTATGCTACCAGAGCTCCATTTTTCATTTATTTTGCCCAAGGTAGGCAAATAAAATGGCACAGTCCCGATATTACCAAACCACATAGCAGGCCATTAATTCAAGTCCATTGTAAGTCCTAAGGTTGGCAGAGAGCATGGCAGGCTGCTGAACAATGACATGGCTACATGCAGGGTCCACGTGTGCCATATGCTAGAGACTATCCCCAAGGCTTCTCCTTATATACAGGAAGCAGACCACATTCCAAAGGCAGCTACTCATGTAGGTTATTCCTTTCGATGGTATCCCACATGGTCCTTAGGCTTTCTTCATTTTGTTTTGATCTTTTTTCTGTTTGATCCCTTTTCAAAGAAGTATTGAAGTATTTTCCTTCAATCTCACTAATTCTGCCTTCCATTGATTCAATTCTACTCCTTTGCCCTTTCAATGTGTTATCTATTTCTGACAATTTAGTATTAATCTTCTGGATTTTTGTCTGTAGATTTTGTATGATTTCTAATTTTTCATTTATTTTGTGATTTTGTTCTTGTATTGTGTTTCAGAATTGTTCTAAGGTCTTCTCTGTGTTTTCCTCCATTTTTTCATTTTTTTCCTTGATCTGGCACTAAATATACCTAAATACGACTCTTTTGAATTCTGTATCAGGGAGTTCTAATGCTGCTTCTTTCATAGGGATGTGTATCCTGGTCTCTTGTTTCTCCTGCTTTATCTTGCTTCTTTGTGTGGACTGTGCTGCTTTGTTGTTTCCAAGACATTCTGATGTTTTTGTGTTTATATTTAATTGGTGATTGTATGGTAGAGTGACTTGCCCACTATTTTTATTTTCTTTGTATGTTATCTACATAAGCAGTGTACTGTGGTCCTCTGTTCACTAGTTGATAGAACTTATACACTCACCACCTGTCTCCTCTCCTCTTGTCAGTCTCCAGTATGTCTCTACCACCTTTGCATGTAATTCCTGTACCTCAGTTTCTTTACTTTGTAAAATAGGCATCACAATAGCTGCCCTGCCTACTTCACAGGGCTTTTGGGGAGCAAATGGATAAAATCACTGGTAGAAGATGGTTAGGGCTCTGAGGATGTTAATATCTGTATAGTTGTGACTTTAAGGTGAATGGTTACTGAGTGCTCAGGTTGTCTCTAGAGGTGGAGTGGGGGCTACAGAGCAGAGACACCAGCTTATTTAGTTCACAGGGCCTAGGACCATTCTGGCCTGAATCCAGGCCCTGGGCTCAGAGCTAGCCCAAGAAAGAGCAGGGGCACCTAAAGATGAGTGGGACATGCTCCCATGCCATGAAGCAGGGATTGGTAAACTTTTCCTCTAAAGGGCCAAATAGTTGATATTTAAAGCTTTGTGGGCCATACAGTCTCTGTCACAACATTTTCTGTCATATGACCATGACAGCCATAGGTCAGATAATGAGTGTGATGTGTTCCCCACCACCACCAAATGTTATTTACAAAAACATGCAATGTGCTGGACTTGGTCCATGAATTTGGTTCATAGGCTACAATTAGCCAACCACTGCTATAGAGCATTTTAATCTTTTTTTTTTTTAAGGTAGAAGGGTAGGAAATCATTCCTGTGAAATTCTGGCTCTAATATTGTCCTCTGAAGTATGTATTAGGTGTATTTTTGTTTGTTTTACACTATTTTTCAAGAAACTGCAGAACTGTGTCAACCAATGCCAGATTTATGTCTAGGCTCCTTGGGATTTTAGTAAATAATTAAAGTACCCAAGAATGGCATCATGAAACATCACTGTTCTGGTCTGTTGGCCAGAAATTTGACTGTGGTGTTCTCAGGGCTCCGTAACTTTCGTAGCTCATTAGCTGGTGGGTAGGCTGCCCAAGATAAAGTCAAGTTCAGAAGCACACAATATCCCTTCCCTCTGACTTGGTATGGGGATGAGTCATGCTGAGCACTCTGAGTGCTCATCTTGCTGAGCACTTTCCACCATGAGACCTACAGGAGGCGGAACCCAGGAGTCTGCTCCCCTGACCCACTATTGCTACAAGTGGCTTCATCTAAGCCCAGGCAGAGCCATACTTCCATGACTAGGATGATGAATTGGCTAGTATGGACTTGCTGTGGTTGGGGTAGTTTCCTGTATCCTCAGATTCCCAGAGTTTAGGGCTGAAAGGAACTTGAGTGGACTTCAGTGCACCCCACTTCATACAATAATTCACTGGTTTCCAATTTGCTTCACTTTCACAAGTTTGCCATATGACCTGCTAGGCAGGGAAACAACTGTCCTGGTTATCCAGGGCTGAGTTTCTAGAAATGTTGGACTTTCAATGCTACAACCCAGAGAGTCCCAGGAAAACTAGATGAATCTGTCAGCCTACCTGGTCTGAGGACATTGACTTGGATGTAATAAATCGGGGCATTATTGCTAGGATGCTGCTCCCAAATGCTGCAAGAGCTCAGAGAAAGGAGATTCCCAGTGAAGTAGGGAAATTTCAAACAGGCTTCCTGGAGGAAGAGAGCTGTAGTGGAGCGTCCAAGGGCTGATACGGCTTGTGGCAAAATGGCTATATAGAAGGAACACGAACATGAACCTTGAGGCCAGAAGGAACAGGGCCTGTTTGTGTCACAAGGAACTATGAGGGGTGCATGAAGACAGCATCATCTCTGATACTGGTAACAAGTCTCACCCTCAACACTACCTCCCATGTCCACCTCCAAAGTTTTCTGTGGGCAGATCTTAGCCCTGGCAGAAAGTCCTGGAAAGTGGCATTTATATAATGCTGAAGAAAAGAAGACATGTTTATCAGAGACAGATGCTTACATTGATGGAGGCTGTTTCTATTTGTAGTTGTTGTTATTTGCCGTCAAGTTGGATCTGACTCTAGCGACCCCTCCTTGGGTTTCCGAGGCAATATGACTACGGAAGTAGATTGCCCAACCTTCTTTCCAAGGAGTAGCTGGTAGATTTGAACCACCAGCCTTCTGGTTAGCAGTCAAGTGCCTTAGGCACTATGCTACCAGAGATCCTCTATTTGTGGTAGGATACCTCTATACCAGGAGCTCTGGTAGTGTAGTACCTAAGGCACTTGACTGCTCACCAGAAGGCTGGAGGTTAAAACCCACCAGCCACTCCTCAGAAGAAAGGTTGGGCAATCTACTTCTGTAGTGATACTGCCTCGGAAACCCAAGGAAGGGTGGCTATGAGTCAGAGCCGATTTGACGGCAAATAACAACAACAACCTCTATACCAAGTTCTGAGAGCAATCACCTGCATCTTGGTAAAGAATTGCCTGTTCTCTATTTTATCTAATGTAAAATTTTAAATTTTAATCACAGCAATGCCATGTCCAGTGCATAGTTTGGTACAGTGCCCAGACCTCAGCTGAGGGTAGAGGACCTGGGCTCATCAGTGTTTGCCTGGACTTCCCAAGGTAAACCAGAAGATATTTAGGATAAGCCCTCCAGGATACTGGGAAGTGCCTAAGACGTGGCTTCTCCTGGAAATGTTTTCCTACTCTGGAGTCTAATAATACCTGTCTAGGACTGGCCTGAGGTGGGGAATATTGATAATGTAGAAACTGATTATGTGGATTCAGAGGGAGGCCTCCTCCTTCCATTTATTCCTGTCTCCAGAATGGTATCTGAGGCTAGGGTTGAGGAGTGGAAGGGAGCAGTCTGTCTGCTTTCTGATTTAATGAAGTTTTCACCTATTTCTCAATATTTATTGAATGCCTGCTCAATACATTTATTGAGTAACTGTGGGTCAGCTGGGTACTAAGGGCCCAACAGTGAAAAACAGTCCAAATGCCCACAATCCCTGTGTCTGGACCTTTTCTTACCTATTTTCTCCACTGTTCCTCATGACTTGCAGAGAGGCAGAGCAGTGAAGAGTCCCATTTTATAGGTCCCCAATGCTTCCCAATTTCCAGGTGAGAAAAGGGAGGGTCAGAATAGAGTCCCTGGGTATCTGGACCTGAGCTTTAAGGACCCAGAAGCTATGCAGAGTTGGAGTGGTTGGTCCTAAAATATCCCAGGTGGTTTGATCTGTGAACAGCAGACTGATGAGATCTTTAACTTTCCTGTCTCTTCTCTGTGCCTCTGCTTTTATGGTTGCCCTGCAGGGAATGCCTCTCCTTCCCACTGCCTGAATCTCTTGCATTCTTCTAGGAGGGCCTACCTCAAGGCCCTCCTCATTTAGAAAGCTTTAGTGCTTGCTCCTCTTTCCTCCCCATCTCTGTCAGTTCTTCTGCACTTCTGACTCCAGCTTGTACCCTTCACAGCCTCCCAACATATCCTTCCTGTATGTGTGTCCATGTCATGGCGACTGCAAGCTCATGAGCTCAGGTACCCAGCCAGATTCTTCCCCCAGGGCCTGGCACAATGTCCAGATGAGCTGTACCCAAGATCAGCTCAGCACTGTGCTGTTGAGCTCGTTTTGGGGGCCTGAGAAAGACTTCATTGGTGACACTGTGGCTTCTCTCCCATCTCTGCAGCAGAACTTAGTGTGAGCACAGATAATCTCCATCCCCCTGGTCACCAGCCTATACATCCTGGTCAATATTAGTTATCTGCTAGTGTTGTCAGACAATGAGATCTCTTCTGATGTGATAGCTGTAAGCTGGGGGTAAGTGAGTCATGTGGTGTATCCCTTGGTTGAGGCTGAGCCTTGCACAGGAAGTAAGCAGGGACTCTGAATCAGATAGGCCTGAGGCATGGGATGTCCTCCACCTTAGTGCTGCCCAAACTCCTTGATCTGGGGTCTAGACCATCCTTCACTTATCTTCTTTAGCCTCTAAGGACACATTTTCAGAGCCCAGGATTCACTTGACCTATTTTTTTTTAATGCATTTTTATTGAAATATAGTTTATGGACAGTGAAATACACAAAACTAAAGTGATATGGGTCGATGCTTTTTTTTTTTTTTTTGCAGTGTCCCCTCCCCTCCCTTCCCACCCCTGGCAACCAACAAAGAAAGTTTCTCTCCATATATAAACCTTTCCTTGACCCTCCACAACA